CAGCTAGTTAAGTTATAATCGCCAATTCACATGTTTATATGTAATAGAATAATTTAAGTTATGAAAATTGCCATTGAAAAGCATTTCGAATGAATTTCCTTATCACTTCTTTGGAAAATTATTATTTTATAATAACTGAACGAATGTGTGTTTCCCTTTACTTGTTTCTGAAATGAAACATTTTTTAAAATTTTGAATTTAAGCAAATTTCTTAAAATGTATTTTTTTTTTAATTTCTACTTGTTTTCTACGATTTTCTAACAGAAAAAATTGTTTTAATATAAATTTAAGTCAGGAAACACCTAACATAACTTATATTGCGGCGACAATTAAAAGTACAAAATATTTCGGTTTTTTTTTGATAATACGTCGAAACAATTGGAATATTTTATGTTAATTATAACAGGCTAGCGAAGGTAGTAAGGGTATCAATCACCCATTCTACTAAATTTACGGATCGAATTTGATCAAGGATGCTAGTTTTGTTCATGGGCGTTTTAATCCTGATATGTAAGTCCCGCTTCTTTCCTACTCGATTACTCGAGTTGTGGGTCATTTTTTGAACTTATGATCAAACAATGATACAAATAATGGGGCGAATAGGCACGCAATATCACTGACAGAGTAATTGGGATGGGTTTTTATACATTATTTTAGTGCGCCGATCAGTAGCCGAATAGTTAAGTAAAGAATAAGTCTTACAGAATGTATTTGAAATGTTATAAACTGAAAGACCTGCTGTTGATTTTATACGAGGAAATAATTAAGAAGGGATTGCAAATTACTGATAGAGCGAGATCTCAAAACCGGGCTCAACGAAACTATGACAATTGTTCAAAAAATGACCCCCTCTAAGATGTTCACATTTTTGGGTTTAGTATACCCAGAAATGCAATAGAATCGGGGGTAATTTCTGTATGGATGGATATTAGTGTATGTGGAACAAGATTTTGTTCACCCTGTTTGAGGTTTAATATTATAACTCCTATGCTTTGTGTCGAAAATTTCTAAAATTTTACAGTTAGGTTTTTTTATTAGAAGAATTGTTGCTGTTAAATCTTGGTGGTTACATATCGAAAAGGCGGGGAGGTAACGGGTTTTTCAAGCACTTGTCAGGGGTTAAGGACCATGTCATAAAGCTTGTAAATACGCAATAAATAGAGAAAAAACATACTACTGATTGTTTAGTTCAATTGGTTTAATTGTATTTAATCACACGAATGTGCCCTTTGTTTCGCAGTGCACTACAACAAATTAAAAGAATGCAGTAACGAGTTTATTAACTTTCCCAGCGACATTTATAACTGCGTTTATAGTACCATGTTAGTATATTTTATTTTAAAAACTTTTCATATTTATAATTATTATATAATAAGAAAAAGCTTAACTTTGAGGATAGGTTGGGGTTTTAAAAATTGAAATATGTTAATAACGATTAAAATAATCATTAAGTGTGATCCCACTATAAATGTGACAAACGTCTCCTATTTATCTCTTTACCCATTCGACCTTTAACCACCAAAATTAAAAAATATCAATCTCTTCAACATTTTTGCAAAATTTCAGAAATATTCGAAAAGAAGCACAGGACTTATTCAGCTTCAAAAGAGTAAAAAATCGTGCCTTCTCTCTCTCCCTCACATACACACACATTAACATCCATATATACAAAAAAACCTATAAGTTTATGAAGTACAACGATGTAAAACTGTCATTTTTTAAATGATTGCCATACTTACCGTCTTTTATATAACAGAGCCAGAAAAGCATAAAGTTCATTTAAATGTTTACCTTTTTCTACTATATTATTTATAAAGAAAAAAATTTTGTCTACCTAATTAAAATCTTTATACAAGTTGTTCTTTCACAATAAAATGTTTAGGCGTGAGTAGTCACTTTCATATAAATCTTATAGTAATCTTTTCTTTTAAAATAAATTGTCAAAAAATATAATATAATTAACACTTAAATAAGAGTTTTTAAATTTTAAACTTTAAATAGAACAACACTGTCGGTTACATGAACATTCAACATGTGGGGATATCCATATTCCCTTCTAAGACCGAATATCGTATTACGGGAAGCCTCGCCTGAATTTATTCGAATGCGAATTCAAATGTACAGTTTATTTTTTCAAATTATTCTTATGCACTGACGAAAATAAAACGTTTATCACATACATAAGATCAATAAATTAGTTTCCCATAGAAACTCTTACAGGAAGGCTTTCCTTTTGGCGGATATCCCATATGTTGCGCTTTCTTTCCCTTCAAACCGGCATATAAAATATTATCTAAATATATATAAATTTTACAATTAATATGATTTAAAATAACATTATCTTATAAATAATTTTCGTTAAGATTAATGTATGAGGTATACTTACAGGAATAAATATACAACGTTAACAAATAAGTTTTATATAGGCCTATAAATATCTAATATCAACACATTAAAGTAACTAAATTATTATTTATATTTTTTCTTTTGCCGGCTAAACACCTTCTGTACAGCCGAAGTCTTTCTTGTATGTATATATGTATATTCCAAGTATTGTTACTGCTAAATTACTGACATTAAAAGNATGTCTTACGTATGGTTGTTTTGTCGCTTTTTTCGAGACTCATATTTCAAGAAAACAAACCGTTCTAACTTACTTCATCGAAAATATCTGTGAAAGAACGGCTTAGTGAGAAGCTTTCTTTTTATAAAAATTGTTCATTATTTAATGAAATTATTTTATACATTGTTTTATCACTAAATGTATTTTAAGTAATTAAAAATGTTCTGAATTTGAATCACTTATGAATTAAGGTGTAATAATGTAACACAGTAATGATTGTTGATTAAAGAATATGAATTATTATATTTTTTATTTTAAATTCTTTCATTTTTTCTTATTCTTGAAGTTATAAAGAGACATTTAATAGACATAAGAATTTAATTTAACATATTGTTAAATCTTAAATCGCTATTTAACATTATATGTACAAGTAGGATGAAAATATTATTAATTTATAATGCGGTGAATTTTATTAATTTTCAATTAATCTAATTAAAGGTCACGAAAAGGAGAAGAAATGCCTGAAATGCTTATTCTATCTATATGAAAGAATAGATATCGTTGTGTGTGGTATCCAAGAATATACTATCACATACCTATTAAATTAATTACTGTAATAAACTCACAAATGTAAAAAAAGAAGTGAGCGAAAGAAAAAAGTTACATAGTATTTCTATAAAAATTCGTTTTAAAAATTAATATTGGGTACTCAGATGAGCGGATATCCGTATTTAATTAATACTGTATTCCAAAATGTTCTTATAAAAGTACAGTTTTTTAATTCTCTCCCGTGAGTTTGAGCGAATAATTATCCTCTTTTAGTTAGAATTTAAATAATGCATTAAACAAATTCTTCATACACTTATTACTGTTTTCATTTATCGCCTAACACGGTGAAACATCAATTCCTAAACAATGCATTTTTTTTTCCTTTGACTTTAACGCTATTACTTTATTTTCATGTTTATTTTATATTTTTTAATTTTTGAACAATATTTATTTTTATCTCATTGTTTCGTAGAATTTTTCATAATTCATTAATTAGCTTATGGTTCCTAATAAAATTTCTAATGAAAGTAAATAAAATTCTTATAATAAAATCGGAGAGAACAGAAGCCTTTCACGTAAATCAATCTTGGGAACGAAATTTTAAAAGTGTATTCAGATCAGAGAAAAAAATTTCTGTAAAATGACCCGTTTTACAGCCGGGAATTTGGCAATGTTGTCGAAAAATAACAGATAATAAGAAAACAAGCGCACGTAGTTAAGAACTACACTTCGGATTGTAGAGGAAGTTATTGTATAGGAAAATACTTTACTGATAAGGAATTAGCATGAGCGGAAACGATCCAACCGATGTACTTGTAGTATATTTTATGAACAGAAATGCATGACAATTAAATATAATACTTTATATGTGGAAGAATTCTCATCTAGTACATGCAGAAAGCACTATATTTATTACCTCGCATAATAATATAACGTTTCAATATATAAACAATTTAATATTTATGACTTAATTGTAAACCATGGTTAATTTTGTACGCGGTATCACTGTACACCGTCTATGTATTTTCTTCTTTATCCTTTACATCAGTTAATTTTTAATCTTTGTATACCTGTAAGGTAGCCGACTCGATAGAGATAGTGGACTTAAAAACCCACTTTTCGGCACCAGTGTAAGATTGCCGTCTTTTAGGTAAGATCAGTTAATTTCGCGTCAGGATAGATTTAAGTAGATGTATAAGGGCTGTGGCGGAAGGGGCAAATGATTGCAAGTATTTTCCGTCCTTCTACTTTTCTCTGTTCTATTCTATATATATTTTTTCTTTTGCCGGCTAAACACCTTCTGTACAGCCGAAGTCTTTCTTGTATGTATATATGTATATTCCAAGTATTGTTACTGCTAAATTACTGACATTAAAAGTCAAAAAGAATTATTAATGTCTATATCTCGAGTGGAAAAAAAATTAGTAAAAAATTTTCATGTTATTAGCATTCACAATTAGTTTAAAGACTCAATCCGACTTTCAACGATAGTGGGTTTTGCTTTATTATGATAATTAATGACTGTTTTAAACAAACACCCAAAATAGATGACACCACAAATGATTTCTTAAATAATTTTCGTTTTATATATGAAGACATTTATGATAATCCATCTAACCTTTTTTAACTTTTTATAAAAGTTTAAATTTTATAACAAAATAATTAAAAATTATCGGATTTCCTTTTCGGTTTTCTTAACTTCCTGTTAATGTAGCAGGAAAGTTGTGCAAGATCCTACCAATTTTTTATTATGCAAATGTGATAATTAGTTATAAATATTTATATGAATATAATAATTTAAATAATGATAATACAATATGTGGATATATTCAACTACAGTGTCGTCTTGAATAATAAATTAGCAGGAAAATTTTTTAAAATATATATAATGAGGATATTCCATTCTTATTGTTTAGTCGTTGTTAAACAATTTGCCTTACGGGTAAGAATATTAAATGTTCACTTGTATTTTAAAACTAGTATAATAGTTTATTTTCTTTATTTAACTCAATTCTTTCAAGTTGTATTTTTTATTATTATTAGAATACATTAATATTTCATAAAGCCCAATAATATCGATTACTGGGCTTTTTAACGACTAAATTGTTGTTTTTACTCGTTTATTTCGTTTACTAATAAATATCATTTAAATTTATTGAGTTGTAGGCTATACGAATAGAAAAAAATGACGATTTGACAATGTCTCGACACTCCATTGTATTCTTGGCTAAATTTTTAATAGAGAGAATTGAGAATAACTTTTTATCAATGCGAAGTCTCAAATTCCTAATCTTTCGTACGGCGGTAATGTTAAAAGAAAAAGTTTATTTAATCCATAGCATACATAAAAAAAAATTAAAAACTCTATATACTTGTAAATATATAAATTATTAAACAAATTCTTGTATAATTTGTATAGAATAGCCTCGTAATTAAGTGTACAAAATTATAAAATATTATTGTATTATTCTGTTAATCTGGCGATTAACTGTGGACTCTGTTTTACGATTCCTCGCTTTTACACTTTGTATAACTTTCGAAGTATATAATAGTTTACGTAATACTTGTATATCTGTATATTTGTATACTTGTATATTTGTATAACTGTGTTTAGTCAAATACATTGATATATAAGAATATGTTTAGTCATTTTCTTTTCTCGTTCGCTGTGAGGAAAGAAAATGACTCGCATTTTTTTTCCTCATTATCCTGTCACTCATATTCTGTCTCTATTTGAACTATAACATGCAATTCTATCATTTTAAATTTCTAGATAAATACGTTTTTATATTGTTTTCGTCTATATATATATATATGTGTGTGTGTGTGTGTGTTTAATTAATGTCAACAAAAATACTTATTACAATAACTTCTAATGGCAGAACTGTTCATAACGTCTAGTAAATTTACTGAACTATTAAGCTTCACATAATACTTCGTAATCATTATCAGTTATCATTTTAAATGGCCATGAGCTAAATACATAAATGTCATTTATCTGTAAAAATAAAAAGCTAAATGATGCTTACCTTCATTTACCTTATTATTTATAAAGGAAACAATAAATACATACCGTATCGATGAAATTGTATTTCCTCAAACAAAACGTCGAGCAGAAAAGTGTCTTATTTCACAAATTGTAAATTTTCAGGAAACGATCTCAATATTTTTCAATAGATAAGGACGAAAGTAAAAGTGACAGATGAATAATTTTTTTTACATAAAGTTTTAGCTCATGTATGTATTTAATGACATAATTTCATAGTCCTTGATTTTAATAGTTTCGTAAGACACAAATAGCGATTTTCTAGATAGAACGAATTTGCATCAAAAACAACGAATTTGACTGAGCTTCACCATGAAAATAGAACCTTACGATTTTGTAAAGTTTGCATTAACTAAATTAAACACAACAGGGACCTGCTTTTATTAATGGGCTTAATTTTGTACTAGAAACAAAGTATGTGTTTTATAACTTCTTTCCATTTATTACATAGGATTTCTGCACATTAATAGCTGTATAGGCAATTTATTGTCACTAAGTCTTTTACATTGCAATTAAGTACTATGGGCATTGCTGTTTATTTTATTTTTAAGGCAGTTTTGTAGTATTTATTGACAGTCTGTGGCATACACCATTTAATCTTGTTTATTGTAGGATAAACCATTGGCTGAGTAATGCTCTATGTTGTTGGTATTTTTTATCTTTGTGCATCCAAATGTATACAGTAGTAAAAAAATTCATTGTTCTCGTAGCTTTTCTTGTATCCAATGAAATAAAGATATACAGAGATATTGAGCTGGTGTCCCTTGATGTCCGCTCGGCTATGTCCGATGTGGAGTTACGCTCCGTTGATCTCCGACTGTAGAGGTCTGCATGGAGATGTCCGTTGAGGGTGCCTACCTGGCGAATTCCTCTCCGGCTGTCCGCCTGGAGGTGCAAGTTCGACTCCTTTTTATACCTATCTCGAAGGGGGAATTATGGGGGAAAAATCTAATGCAATCACCAGCTCGACTTGCGTACAGCTGTGTTTATGTTATCGTCATCCTTTTCTTCCAATATTTGACATCTTTCTATCATAAATTTGTCAAACTCCCTGATTTATTGACGTGAGGTGACTCATGTCAGAATACGTCTCACCAACTTAGTAAAATTCATTGCCTTATTTGGTCATTTAGATCGACTTTACTCGGTTCGCTCGGACTTACAGAAGATCACGGGGTTTCGTTTTACCCTCGCCGGTGACCTTTTGGTTACTCTCTAGACAGTAACAGGTGGTTGTCGACGTTAATTGGCTAATTATCTGCACCTTATAATTTACTTTAGAATTGAACGATCCCTTGGTATGAGAGGAGTCCTTCGGACGATTAAAGTCACCTTCGAGGTGACGCAGTACCAGTAGCGTGCTGTCATTGGAAGCGGTGGATGCGCCGCTTCTATTGTATTTTCTAAAAAATAAATATATATTAATTTTAATTATACGAAAATAATCGCACAATATTTTATTATAACCGCATTATGTATCTTATTACAAATTTCTATACTACACGTGAAAAAAAATAAGATTGCTATTATATGTTCGAATACTGTATTAGTGGCGGAGTGGAAGCGCCGTATTGTCGGCATCCAAAAAGCCAGATTCGCGCACGCGCTTTACAGAGCACCAACCTTACCCGTTGACACCTGGTCTTAAAACGAATTAGTTAAAAAACAACTGACTATTAAGTTTAACATATTTGAATTTTTACAGCTATGGCGAGAAACGTTTAAAATCTACAACAACCCTGTCGCGTCCTTTGAGATAACTAGTGATGCGACAAAAAAGGCATTTGACATTAACCGGTATCGGCACCCTCGGGATTTGGCGTGCATGCACGCGCTGCACACCTGCCAAGACCGTTTCTGATACTGTCCACGAGCCACTGGTAGAGAGTAATTTTAACTAACTGGATTGTTTTAATACATTTAAAAAGTAAAGAATATTTTATGTTATTTTTATGTGTTTCTTCACAAAACTCTATTTAATTATAATTTTCTTTAAAAGTATGTACATACAATTTAATATTTTGTACCAGGTATGTATCCATCACACATTTTATTTTAACAAGTAAGTTTTTATAACTTCATTTTTAATTTTAGCCCTTATATCGTGGCTAGCAATTTAGAATGTAATTGTAATAGTGAAAATTTATTTATAAAAAGTTTTGGCTCATGGCCATATAATGAAAAAGAAAACATTATTAAAAGAGAAAGACCAATGCCTAAATTAAATATAAATACGTCAACAAAAAAATGTGTTCGATATTTTTACGTTAAAATTTATGAAGATGTAAAATGGCTTTGTGGACGCATAAAAATACAAAAATTGTTTTTTTGGCCTTGCCTGTTATTCTTAAATAAAATTTATTATTTAGCATAGATAATCTATTAATTAAAAATACATTTAGAGAAGTCTACGGTTTTTACTGGCTTATGAACAAACTAATACGAATGTACCCTAGACAATGTGACTAATTGCTCCTGGAAGTCGGCTTCTTACAGTAAACACAGCTTCCCTATCATCAAATGTCACGGCACGCCACTGCCACAGTACATTGAGGTGTCAAAAGGTCTACTCTTTACTTTACAAGAGGGGAAAAGAAAAAGGAAATAATAATAAAAATAAACTATTTCAACGTGTGAAAATTTACACTTGCGTCCGAATTCTCATAAGACCATACCTCAGCGACATAACAACTTTTTAATTCGTGAATCGTCGTTGTCTATTTCTTCAATGCAGGAATGTTCGAAGGAGAATACTTCATGGCTATGTTTTAATTCAATATGCAAAATATTAATGTATAGTTTATATTATGTAATTTAAGACTTAATATAACTTGAAAATATGTCAATTATCCTTACAAAAAAAAATACAAATAAATATAATTATACTATTAATTTATATTTAAAAACATTTTTGAAGTAACGTTTTTTAAATATTCGTTGCATCAAATTTAATATTATAAATGATTATTTCTTGATTCAAGAAAGATAATCGAAAAGTATTTTTCATTACTTTTTAATTATGATATTAGATATAAATATAATTGGTGATTATAACTTGGTTTTTAAAATAATGATAGACGTCACATTTGTGTAGTTATCGAATAGAAAATTAGAACAGATATGTTTTATATATAAATATTTCATATGCACAGATTAAACCATAAATACGAAGTAATTGTGTTTAATTAGAAATATTCTTATTTCAGAATACTATGGAAAAAGTCGAAAGTACCGTACGAAGAGGAGAATTTAAATTATTTTACGTAGAAGAATATTTACATCAATACGTAGACAATGATTGGACTCAGAGTTTTTTACCTTACACTGTTCCTACGTCGCTTGCATACGTAATAATTATCTTTTCTTTGCAAAATTATATGAAGTCCAGGCCTCTGTTTCAGCTTCGTTGGCCTCTTGTCATCTGGAATATACTACTGGCGGCATACATGTATTATAGCGGGAAATATTGCGAGCAGACCAACACGAGTCTGTTGTTGTTGACTTTCTTATATACATCACTTGGTTGGTTGTTTTGTCGCTTCTTTCGAGATTCATATTACAAGAGAACAAATCGTAGTAATATACTTCATAAAAAATATCAGTAAGAGAAGCGTTAGGAGGGGAAACGTTTTGACTACAATAATTGATTATTATTTTGTTTGCATATTACTTCATATTATGGTAAATAATATTATATTGTTAAATATTTTGTTGTAATTAACGAAATACGTGGTAAATTTGAATATCTTATGAATTGAGAATTTGAATATCTTATGAATCTAATTACTTTTTGAGGTTTTGGTTGATAGATTTACGTTGTACTTAATGTTATAAATAGAAATTCAATAAAAATAACATTGTTTAATACAAAGTGTTGTTACAATTAGTTTATCAGATATAACTTTTGGAAAAGAGCTTATTAACCGGTAGCATATTTTGAAATTTATTAAATGATAAGTATACGTCTATATTCGACTCAGAATTTTACAATTAACATTACATTTAATACATGTAATACCGTGTTTCCCCGAAAATAAAACAGTGTCTTATATTAATTTTTGCTCTGAAAAATGCGCTAAGTCTTATTTTCAGGGAATGTCTTATTTTTTCCAGGAAGAAGAATTCACATTTATTATTGAACAAAACAATTCCCAAGTCGAACTTAGACGAGAGTGACGTATATCCGGTGTGTCGAACTGTCGCCTTTTTATAGCGTCAACATCGGACTCGATGACCAATTAGTGCTTACTGAACCGTAGCACTATGCAAATGTCATGTGGCGTGACTCCTTGCTGACCAATCAGCTATCACTAGCCGTAATGTTATGCAAATCTGTGATTCTGAAGCCATAGTCTTATGCAAATCGTGCCGCGTGGCGTATTGTCTGCTGACCAATCAGTGGCTGTACTTTCAAAAAGCCAACGGCCACTTTCAACCATCTGTCGATGACCGTTACTACTAAAAAAACTTCGCTAGGTCTTACTTTCAGGGGGAGGTCTTATATTTCGCAATTCAGCAAAATCTGTGCTAGGTATTATTTTCAGAGGATGTCTTATTTTCGGGGAAACACGGTATTTAATAACATTCAAATTCTTACTGTAGTTTCTGTAACTTTAAGTGTACAGACTTTCCGAACATTCCGTATATTGATAGGTATAAATCTTTTCTAATACAATAGTTACTATTTTAAATAAGTTTCGTATTTATGTCCTAAATTCTCAAAAAAAAAAAAACAAATTCTAATTCTAAATGGAAATTTGAAAACATTTATTAAAACGACACAATTACTTCATAGTTAATCAGTAAAAAATTTATTAACTGACGAGCAATTATTTATTGTGGCATGGTCACATTGCCAAGCAGGAATTTTTAATAATATTTTTAATTTATCTAATTTAAAATATATGCTTTCCACTTCAATTTAGTAGTGTCTTGCACCTGTAAATCATACTTTTTTTTAACAATAAAGTCATGCCGATTATGTGCCTAACACTTATCAGAGAAGAATTATTGAATTGTAATAATATAACGTCCGGTTTAAACCAGAGTTTCTTATATAGTTATTCGGGTCTCCTGTCTCTAAGCTTTCCAAATTATTACTCTAACTCCGTTCTCGAGATTCAGGCAAGACAGCCAGACAAAAGACAGTAGGAATCTATGTTATTCATAATAAATCACCAAACGATCGCCTAAATATCGGGCTATAATAAGGCTAATTAAATGATTGTTATAAATTAATTTGGCACTAGAGGTAGACGTTAAGTGCCATCTCTTAAGGAAATTAATAATTAGAATTAAATAAATAAATTATTAAATAAAGTTAGAAGCTGTAACTGACAAGCGCACCGCACGGCAAGGGGAGGTTGCGGGTTCAAGACCCGTCCCGGGCCAGTTCTTTTATTCCAGAAGGTTCTAAATTTATTTAATAATTTATTTATTTAATTCTAATTATTAACTTACTTAAGAGATGGTGCTTAATGTCTACCTCTAGTGCCAAATTACTTTATACCAATCATTTAATTAGCCTTATTATAGCCCAATATTTAGGCGATTGTTTGTTGATTTGTTGTATACTACTCGGGCTTTGAGATGTTGTCAGTTATTCATAATAATATTATTATTAAATGTAAAATCGTATTTTATAATTGTTTTTAAATTAAAATATCGTTACCAAAAGATATGTCATCGTAACACTCAGGACGTTCGGCAATAGGAATTTTTTCAGATTTGAAATTTATTGACTTAGGACACATTAATAGGTAAAAGAGTGCAAAAATTTCTGTATGTGTGGATATTAGTGTGTGTTTTGGGGCAAGATTCCGTTCACCCTGATTTTGTTCTAGCTAAATTTAAATTATGATTAAGAAAGGAAAAAAGAATTAAAATAAGAAGAGAACAAAGGTATAAAATATTAAATTTTTCTAACTAAAATAAAGTTATAAACAATTTTACTCGTTAAAATTCTTAAACGTGAATTATTGAAATCATAGATTTGGATAAAAATTTATATGACAGTCACGATTTACTCTTCTGGGCTTTATCGTCAAACGACAATTTAAATGAGGATTGTTGCTTGAGGAAACAAACTTTTAATGACATTTATTTATTGTTTTATTTATAAATAATACAGTAGATGAAGGTAAGCATCATTATATCTGACGTATTTTGTTATAGCCAAATAATATCTAATAAATACCTCGCCTTACGTCGGTAATTGGTTCCAGGAGATGCGACTTAAGTCGAACAACGACGTAAGTCGAATTTACTCGTCACTAGGCTAAATCACAAATAACCGTTCCCAATTATGTATTTTATTTATAAATGCATTTTTAATAATATGTGGTTAATAAGAATCTACTTTAAGCTTACAAACAAATAAATTTTAGTTTTTAATATAGTACAGAAAAAAGTAATCTAAATTTACAAATTCCTGTACGTACAGTACATATTTGTAAATGTACATGAATATCAAAAGCAATATCAAAGCGCTCAGCAATCAAATAGAGAGAAACAAAATACCTTTTTTTTGCCGAGAAATAAATATAATTGTAAAAAAGAAACGTTTTCAGCCCAATTAATATAAATGTTTACAATTTGGCGATGTTTACAGTTCATCGTGGACTCTTTTATTTGTGAATGTGGTTTGCTCTAAGACATTATAAAATAAGACGATTTTGTAAGATTAAATAACAAATACACTTATTAAAATTATCTTGCAACAGTAGAAAATAAACTAATTTATATTAAATTTACCAATATCGAGTGGTGCTGAAATTGATATATAATCAAAATTATTTACTTTTCTTTTTTCTTGAATAAACGATACAACCGCTTGTCAAGAGTTAAGCTTCAAGAGGTTAAACAAAATCGTGCCCCCCCCACACACACACTAACATCTATACATACAAAAAAACCTTTAATTTTTTAAGACTCCAACAATGTAATACTCTGGAAGGGTCATTCATCGATAGACCGAATTAACAATAGAGATTTATTACTTACCGTATACACGCTTCGGTGGTTTTGATATATGTGTCGTACAGGTGAGTATAACTAGCAAATTCCACGTGGAATAGGTCAATTACTACAAGTGAAAATCAAGTAAAATTGTAAAACATAATTAGTAAGGGAGCTAAATGTAAGCATTGAAGTTAGCTGTGTTCAGTCAGATGTAAAGAAATAAATAAGTAAAGCAGTGTTAAATATATAATTGTTGTTAAACTTGAATAAAAAATCAATTGTTTAATTCCCTTAGGAGTAATATATTTATAAATTTTGTTGTCGTAATAAATAATATAAATTTAAAACAATTTTATTTTGTTTAAATTATCATATAAAATATTATAAAACATATTTCTAGAAAATTTTGTAGTAGTAAAAGAATTATCGAGAAAACAGGTTTACCCAATACACTAGATTTAATTATTTTCCTTAAGTTATTATTAATAATCGTAACTTTANTAAACCAATTGAACTAAACATTCAGTAGTATGTTTTTTTTTTCTTTTATTATGTATTTACAAGCTGTATGACATGGTTTTTAACTCCTGACAAGTGTTTGACAAACCCGTTATCTCCACACCTTTTCGATATGTAACCACCAAGATTTAACAGCACCAATTCCTCTAATAAAGAAACCTGACTGTAAAATTTTAGAAATTTTCGACACAAAAGCATATACGTTATAATATTATACCTCAAACAGGGTGAATAAAATCTTTTTCCACATACACTAATATTCATACATACAGAAATTACCCCCGATTCTATTGCATTTCTGGGTATACTAAACCCAAAAATGTAAACATCTTAGAGTGGGTCATTTTTTTGAACAATTGTCATAGTTTCGTTGAGCCCTGTTTTGAGATCTCGCTACCTCAGTAATTTGCAATCCCTTCTTAATTATTTCCTCGTATAAAATCAACATCAGTTATTTCAGTTTATAACATTTCAAATACACTCTGTAAGACTTATTCTTTACTTAACCATTCGGCTACTGATCGGCGCACTAAAATAATGTATAAAAACCCATCCCAATTACTCTGTCAGTGATATTGCGTGCCTATTCGTCTCATTATTGGTATCATTGTTTGATCATCAGTTTGAAATGACCCACAACTCGAGTGATCCAGTGGGGAAGAAGAGGGACTTACATATCAGGATTAAAACGCCCATGAACAAAACTCTAGCATCCTTGATCAAATTCGATCCGTATATTTAGTAGAATGGGTGATTGATACTCTTACTGCCTTCGCTAACCTGTTATAATTAACACAAAATATAGGCCTACAAATTGATTTCGACGGATTATCAACGAAAACTGAAATATCCTGTACTTTTAATTGTC